AGCTTTGCGGTGTAGCGCTGCAGCTTTGAAGCTGTGAAGATGTTACCCTTTGATTTCTGCTACCTCTTGTCTCCATCGCCATCTTCATCTTCATTCCCTCAAATCCGCCATGCCCATTCCATGCCGCCATCCATTATTGTTTGCTTTTTGGGGTTGAAAACAACAAGAAGAACATAGAAGAACACTCTTAAGACAGTTAGTTTTCCCCAAACTCTTACAACGATCCGTGTTTTCTCGTTCCCACAATACTGTTCGTTCCAAAGAGGAAGAGTCCAACGTCAACACCGTTCGCCGTTTGCTCAACGCGCGTTCTCCGAGGCGCGAGGCACCGAGAGCGAGCGCCGCTGCCTGAGAGTGGAGGAAGGAAGCGAGCGAAACGGAAGGTGGTCGTTGGATGTGTTGGATGAGGTATCGAATGTATAAAACATTGATATACCAGGAGTCACAGTCGACGGGGTGGTGTGGCTCGTCCCATCCAGTGAGTGGATAGGCACCCCTATCCTCCAATGGGCACCCTTTTGTGACTCCTGTAAGATGAATGTGTTTCATTATTGGACTAATACATGATTCAGGGCTCGCGTTATTTGTCCTCTTTCGCACAAATAAAACATAACTTTTTGTGATGCAGTTTTTGAGTCAATTGGAAGTATGCAGATTAAGACTACAGACAAAAGAAGTCGTGCCTGACCTCTTGTGGTGTGTGCATGAGCGTGGACTCCTGATTGACAATTGACCATGGAAGTATAGAAATTAATGAATGTTTTTGGAAGTTCTGATGAATGGAGGTATACTATCACAATGGAACATTGATCTGTCTCTGGTTGCAATATTGATCTGTATTGATCTGTCTGTGGTTGCAATATTGATTTGCCTGTGGTTGCGATATTGATCTGTCAGTGGATGGCTGTGATATTGATCTGTTTTGATCTGTCTCTGGTTGCAATATTGATCTGTTTTGATCTGTCTCTGGTTATCTATATTGATCTATATTGATCTGTCTCTGGTTGTAATATTGATCTGCCTGTGGCTGTTTGTTCTGTCTTTGGGCCTCTGGTTGCAATATTGATCTGTCTGTGCAATTATTTGTAGTTTTAATCAGAAGAGATACTCAAAAGTGATGTATGTAGAGGACATATAGTGAGCCCTGTTATATGTGTTTTATAGGATTTTCTCCATCAATTAATGTACTAGTCCATGGGTATCAATGTACTAGTCAATGTATAAATCAGTGAAATTCACCCCGAAACAATCCAAAATGAATGACGTGGTTAAATCAGGGTCCATATGGAGCGGCCATCGGAGCCCGGCAGTGCCGGAAGGAGAGATTGAAGTCTTTGGTGGTTGGACACATCGATCCAGAACTGCAAGAAACGGCTCTTTTGATGTGTATTCTGTTCATCTGTGTGTTTCAGTCTGTTGTCTTTGTTAACAACTGCTGCTATTAATATCTCCGATACGAATCACAGTGTTTGACTCTTAGTCTTTTGAGTAGTATTAAAAAAATTAACATCCTTATCCTATCCTGAACTTCTGGTGTCTCATCTCATTGCCTCAACGACCTCGGCAGGCGGTTTTCTGTCGAGACCCGGTTTGGGGACGGGCATGAACTTCTTCGCATGTGAGGTAAGCAATGTGAGGTAAGCAAAAAAAATAGTGTGAATTGCCTAACCATATATTACAAACATAATACATAGAAGACGTGAATATATATGTTTAGTTAATTGTCTTCCATGTGAGCATCCTTCAATCTCAACCCATTTGCATCCTGGCATGTCCTAATCTGGAAGGATGGAAGAGTGGGCTTTGGCGAAATTTGGTCCAATCAAAGCCGTGCTTTAGACGTTATCCATTTCCCAGGAACTTGGGCACTTTAAGCTAGTTCCCTTGCCAACCATGTATGACAAAGGGTCAGGCATCACGAAGCTATGCATAGCTATGCCATTGCTGCATGTCCAAAGATGCCGGACCCAAGGCCAAAAGAAGTCGGCCTTCCGGACGCAGGCGGTTCCGCACCGCAGCCAGCGTTCGTTCTTCGGTTTGGAAGCAGACGGGTCTGATGGACGATGTAGAAGACGAGTCTGACGAGCATTTTTCCTCCCAACACAGGTGAGGGAGGATGGGGGTTGGGTGTTTCACGGTGTTTCAAGCGTGGACGCTTTTGAATACTAGGTTGGAGGCCATTGCTAGTAACAAGAGGACGCTACAAACCGGGCTCCTGGCCTTACAACGAACGGAGCAAGAAGCTCCTATAGGTTGGAGGCCATCGCTATTAGGTTGGAGGAATCGTTCATCCCACTTGTCACACGATGATCCTCGATTCATCGCCGGATCAGCGAACAGGTGCCGAAGGCCAATATCTTGCCGCGCCTGGCTCTCCCCGATCGGAGCTCCAATTGAGGCGCCGCCACACCCCGTGGGCTCGCGCAAGCTCGCTCGTTTGTCTCTTGTAGGGTCTGGGCCATGGCATGGGCTTAGATCAGCGGTTCATTTCTTTCTGTTCTGTTCTTTTTCTGATAACTGTCCTTTCTTTCGTTTGAGCCCTGCCATCCCATTCTGCGGCATCACATTGCGTATCGAGATGGGGTGCTCAGCGCCGCATGATGCGGCACCATCAGCGCACAGCACATCAGATGACCTTGCGTATCGAGACACGTCGCATCATCTTGATCCTTAGGTTAGGTTTGTTGATTGGTGTTTATTGGGAGAACTCCTTAAGCTGCAACTGTTACTTGGTGCAGCACAGCTTGGTGTTCAATCCCCTCCTTGTAGAAACTGGGCCAAAGCCACGAGAAGCAAGTGCTCAGCACACAAACCAAACTAGAATCCTTTCCGAAGATTCGAGGGACCAGGGTGACATGGGTTTGATTATGGTTGATTCAGACTCATTCAGGAAAAATCTCGTCCACTTATTGCAGAGATGTTCCGCCCCGCAACGAATCATCACAACATCTCCTTCAAGTGGACCAAGGTAGGCAATGCCTTTAGGTTGGAGGCCCTCGCTACCAAGGTAGGCAACTGACCTACTGCGATGCCTCTGCGAACTTTGAGCCCATCGTTGGGCCGTGCCAAGAACGAGAATCGCTCGTTCCAGCGCCTTGATCCCCAAGAAAAGGGCTCAAGACGCCGGTCTTGATCATGCGTGCAGTTTTAGTTCAAGGGTTTTTGAAAGGTGCCCCGTGAACTGGTACGTCATTGACCCTTTTTGTAACATCAATCTTGTGACAATCTACTGTAGTTGGCCCTGTCAGATCTTCTTCGGGACGCTAAAACAATCATCCTTGATAGATCTTGATAGTGAATTCAGGGGCAAGTGCCCTTTTTTCGTTGCTGTTCTACAGCATCTTGGCCAGCCAAGTCAGTGCAAAAAGATGATGCAAAGAGACCCAGTTTCAGAGCTCGCTTGCTCCGCCCCAGTCGATGCACACCGGACCCAAGTCTCCAGACCCCCCAGACGCGTTCCCTCGCGAAGCCGGTCCCCTCGCGGGCCGCGGTTTTGCGGCAGCGGGGTCGACCAGTCGAACGGTCCGGCTGGCTGTGGGCCCTTGGTTGCCCGAGCTGTGGAAAGCACGAGAGGTGAAAGACTCGGAATCCGAACCAAAAGAAACAAAGATGTCGTCACCAGCGTTGCTGAAGTCTGCCGGCCTTTCGGCGGCCCACAAGCGTTAGCGTTGTTCCCACCGGGGTGGGTCAACCAGGATGGCAAAGCTGGGAAAAAGCCGCAAAGCATCTACCTTAGTCCACCTGGATGTGTTCACCAAGCGCATGGCTTCAGATGGTTTTAGCCAATCAAAGATGATGTTGGTCTTGGGTCTTAAACCGGCGAAGCTCTGGATTCCGTGTCTTCCGCATTTTGGGGAATGAACTCACTCCAGCACAAGGCGGAGTGATCAGCTGACACAGATTCAAAGATGGTTCCCAAATAAGCTGAAAACCCCTCAAACCACATCAAGAAGAATCTTCTTCACTCAAGTCTCAGCTCTACGTCATCAGTGCCATCCATGGGGATTCTTCAGCTGTGACATGTGATGAGATTTGGGGACCACGATCTGTCGACCAGGGGCAGCCCATGTCTCCGGTACCGCGCTTGCCGCGCGCAACGTCCACGGAACGGTGTGGAGTGGATCTCGAAATCAGATGGCTGTGGATCGTACTGAGGACACCCAGCAGGAGAGTCAGAACAGATGTAAACAGATGTTCTACAGCAAGGAGAGTGTCTTCCTCCACTTTGTCATGTGCGCTGTGAACAGAATACCCAGTGAACAATAACAAATTAGATAGAACGCGCGATCGGCCGCAAAACCCCAGCTGGTTTGAGAAGACGTGAAGAGCCTGAAACTCAAACCGCGCCTTTGCCAGGAGTTGGAAGAAGTGAAGCCTGGGAAGGGCTCTACACACTTGGTGAAGCAAGGGTGAAATGCCTTTTCTGGCGTGGCTGCAGAATTCAAACAGCTCAAGCAACTGACAAGTGTACACCCAACATCCATAGTCTTATGAAATCTAACTAACCAACACACAGAAGAGGTTTGAGATTAGAATGTCAAAGAATAAAAATCCTTGAAAAACAACAAAAACTGTTCCAGACTCAGCCCAAACCAAAAAAATCCACAAAACAAAACCAAAGACAGCAAAATTCATGGGAGACACGGGCAACACAAGGTGAGTCTGGACCAGAAAGCACATTGGTGGACTCAGCAAGCAAGTTGTGAGTGTATGTTGGATTCATGTTTGTTTGCATGTATCGTGTTTCTTGGTTTAATTCTGAGTCCTGTCCTGAGTAGACCTGTTTTCATGAGTTGTTCTTCGTTTTTGTAGTTGATGGTTGTTTCATGTTTTGTGTGTTCTTTTTCCAAGGATTTCAAGTCTGTCTGTTTTCGTTGGATCTAACTATACCAGCATAGTCAACCTCGTCACTCCGTCAGCGAGCCATGGCCATGCATGGAAGTAATTGAACATCACAAAACGTGAAGAGCACGTGGCTTCCCGATCCACGCTATGCTGCCATGCCGCTTCTTCCCCGCTTGGGGAGGCCCAGGCATGAACCGAACGGGGAAGAGAAGAGGGGAACGTGGCATTGATGGGAGGCATGATCGGGCATGAAAAAGTACCACTTAGTAGATATTCAGCGGCAAACTGCACCCTTGCGCACTTGACGTCCTGAAATTCTCTCAAAATTTGGTTGGAGACGAGTGAGGACGTTCATCCTCCCCCACGAAGCGCAACGAATCCTTACGCAGTCTTTCCAGATCGACTCCGCAGGGTCTCCCGCCACCGGCGAATCCAGGTGCCACGGCACCGCGGCGCGCGGTGCGCTCGGCGGATCGTCGATTGCCGCGGTGGATCGACGGATCTTCGACTATGAGAAGAAGTTCACGCTGGCCCTCAAGGTGGGGGCGGCTCCGGGGCTCCTGGCATGGACGAGAGGTGAGAACGAAGCACGGAGATCTGTCGATGGGTTTTTTCTTAACGGAAATCAAGCTGATGGAAACGGGGAACAAGAAGCGGTGTGTGGCAAGGCGGGCATGGCAAGGCGGGCATGGCAAGGCATCAATTGTGAAGATCAAACACAGGCACAAGATGTGACAAGCTAAAAGGAAAAGCACAGCTACAGGAGAGCGCAGCTGCAATTGCCAAGCTAAAAGCTGTGCACCCCAAGTGACTGGTGAGCCCCCGAAGACATGTCCACAAGTGTTACTCCAGCGGGTGTTTTTCAGAGGACTTGTTAAGTGTACGAAGGGCTGTACCACAAAGATTTCACTGGAATCAGCTGGAAAGAAGAGGAGAGCCGTTGGACTGAAAGAAGAGTGAGATGGAGTGACTTCAGGGGCAAAAAGTCGAAGATTGTGACTTCAGAGAAGACAAAACAACTATGCTTAGTCAACTGTTTGGCACGTCTTTTTCTTGCTTGAGGTGTGATTGCTCCTACCGTTTTGGGCTTGGATAATGTGCAGCTTTTTTTCACATAATATGGTTTGATGAGTCATACAATATTATATTAATACATTGCCACAAGAAGTATGCAGTGAAGATATGTCAGATATGTGTCCCCAAGCCACCCCTGGGTTGAGGCACTTCTCAGGCTGGAAACATGTTCTGACTCAAAGATTGGCACATGACCAGCACCAATGCAGATGTTGCTTGTGTTCAGCCACAGCTGTTGCTTCGGAACGGCAAGCCGCTCCGCTGCCGATCGTCGAGCGGACGTGCAACCTCTGAAGCTCGGGACATACCCTCTGGAGATTGGCATGTTCTATTTGCCCAAGGCCTGGTCGAAGACCACAAGGAGCGAAAAGGAAGAAAGGAGGCCGAGACCGAAAGAAGTGCCGAGTTCGATCAGTGCCAAGGTCACACCCCCTGGCCTCTCGGCTTCCAACACTTGGCTTCCCTCGTGTAAGTGCGCTCGTGACGAGACTTCGTCGATCAGTGCAATGGCGGGGTCATGGCACCCGGGCCGACCGGTGGACGCAAGCTGAAGAGAATCGACGCAAAGGAGGTCAACCCAGGGATGGTGAGTGAAATGGGCTGCAGGTTTGGACTCACAGCCATGGAGGTTTGGACTCAGCTGGGAAGATCACTGGAAGTGGCTTCGCTCATGCTGTTCGCCTTTTGCCCCGGGTTTTCCCCCGTGGACCGCCCAGGCGAACTCCTGGCGCGGCGCCTTGGACCTCTGGGCCGAGCTCCGAAGGACGCTTTACGCCCGCCCGCCACGGAGCCCGTGCGCCGTGGCGAGAACGCGACGTGACTTGGAATCCCTCGGGTTTGATATCATGGCATAGGCGAGGTCCGAATTTTAGAGAAGTGAACACTTGACTGGATAAAGAAAGAAGAGATCTTGAAAGAGGAGCGGAGCGTTAGCCAAAGGGATTCCGGACCCCGAAGGATTAGGGATTATTTTGTTGCGTTTGTTGCAGATAATTTGGTCGACCAGATAGTGGACGCATTGGATATGGGGACACCAGAACGAGATTTCGTTGGTAAAGTCTGAGGCGAGGTTGATGAAAACAGACACAAGGCTGAACGGGATGGGATGATGTGTTAGGGCACGCCTGTTGGTCCTTCCACCAGTTTATTTTTTGCCGAGATGCAGGGTGCCAACGATTTAAAGATCTTGTGTTTTTTTTCGCGACAAATATATAAAGATTTCTTGCAACATGTGTCTTAAGTCCACATCAGACCAATTCCCAAGGAGATCCACCTGGGAAAAGTTTCCAAGTTCGCTCCGCTCGAAGCCGAAGCGACATGAACGATCGTCTCAAGGAGACGTCGATCGTCTCAAGGTCCGGCGGCGCCGGCCTCCCCAAAAGACGTGTTTTTTGGAAGCTCGTGGCCCTGGCTTTTTACTTAAGTAGGTGCCTACTTGAATCTACTTGATATCAAGTAGTAGTTCGCTACTAACTACAAGTTAACTTCTAGTAACTGGACACAGGATAGCTCACCCTTCTTCTTAAGGAAACTATCCCCTTTCATAAGACTCAAAACCCCTCTTAAACAGAGCATCCTTTATGGATGGTATGGCCATGCATGTTCCAGGGTTTAATCAGGGTTCACTCCGCGTCCATGCTTGTTGCAGGGAGAATTTGCTGTGGCCCTCTTCTTTGACCATGTCCAATGCTAATGCATCAGGAGCTCATTGACCCCTTCTGGATCCTGCTGTAGTGCAGCGCCTCTCGGATAAACGTTTTCATCCACACGCGTTGCTGTCGGGAATATCCCACCACAGTGAACGTCGGATATTTCGAAGGTGGTCAACGGTCGACACGTCGCTTCGGGTGATTCAGGGAGAGATCTGGCAGTGAGAGATTCTCCATTCCGGGATTCATCACCTTTGAGGCCGTTTGAGGGTTCGTTGGTCGAGCTGGAAGAACTGGAACTTTCGAAGCCCCTGGGCGCGGCCTTACGTGAAAGATGCCAACCAACAGAGGTTGAAGGACCCTATAGTACCTATAGCCTATCCCATCCTATCCCATAGGTACCCCAGTAAGGTCCTAGTTCAGGTCACTTAGCCTCTCTTGGAATGGATGTGGATGTCTTAGCCCAGAGTCAAGCCGGTGTTCCCAGGGTAAGCACACTGGCACGGTCCTGGCGCTGGCAAAAGGCGAACTCGGCGAACTCGTGGGGTAGGAACTCGACCATGGTGGTTGTGTAGGTCTATGTAACCTGGTAACTGGTTATGTAAGTTGGCAATCGAGCTTCATGTCCCTGATTCTGCTTTACCTCCACTACTTCCCACTTCCGACTGGGTGTGGGGGCGGTGCTTCCAGATGTCAAATAGGCACACGTAATGATGCAATGTCTAGGTCAATGAGAGGCGAGAATGAGCGCACCCTCATTACACCTGATCCGAAATCAAGAAACACCTGAAATCTGATGGCGAACGTAAGGAGGCCTCAAGTTGACTGCTCAAGTCGCAGTCTCTACCTAATGAGTGGAGAACCTTTCACATCCCTTAACCTTTTTCGGTGATTGGCTTCCCCGCTCAGAATGCACAGGTGAACAGTCCAGGTTGACCTTTATGTTCCAAGGGAACTAAGAAAGTCGGATCCTTTGGTCCGTTTGGTCTTGGATTTGTTTGCAAGCTTCACCTCCATAGCATCACATCCAGAAATGTCCTGCCCTCGTGCGTGTTTTGTGGGTGCAAAACTGGACCAACTAGCGATGGTCTCCAACCTACTAGTGGTGGCCTCCGACCTACTAGCAACGGCCTCCGACCTACTAGCAACGGCCTCCAACCTAATAGCAACGGCCTCCAACCTAATAGCGCGTGCAAAACTGGAGCTTAGATTTCTCAAGCCTTTGAAGAACTTTCAGGGAGAATTCCGTGCGTCACAGGCCCTGGAACTGTTTGATGGTTTGCAGCGAGAATGTCCGGATCACGTGCCCAGCCAGTGCCGGCCCTAGGATGGGATTTATCAACAGGCTTGCCTATAGGTCTAGGCCTTGAGTGGCATAGGAAAGTGAGAATCCTTGGTTGGAGCCCCGGCCATGAACCCAGTGCCAAGTACTATCCAACTCACAAATGTGTCCATTCTGGCCACTTGTTGACTTTTGGCGGTCAAGAAGTCATGGGCAGACATGATCAAGTACATCCCATGACCCCCTTTGTGACCCCCTCTGAGTCCTAGGACCTCCTGTAATGCAGCCATCGCTGCATTGGGGCGGGGAGCACATTGGCGGGGTGCCCTCCACTTGGTCGGGACACCCAGTCGAATCCAGCGAAGCAGGAGCTCTGGTTGATGCGCAACTTGCAGCATTGCAGAAGTTTGGGATTTTGGATCAGTTGGTTTGGAATTGACCTGGCTGGAGATATGTCAATGTTTCGTGAATTGAGCGGTTCTGTTGAATCTATCTTGGAATGTTCTCTCCATCCAATCGAACATCTAGCAGGCTGTCTCCTGAGCTCCAGGCTTGCTGCTTTCCGCAGCGGCGGATTGTCCGCACACGTTCCGAGGTCCGGCAGATGGAAGCCGAGGCCTCGAGCCGAACGGTTCCTCGTAGCGATGGCCGAACGCTCCGTTTGACGCTACGTCCGAACGCTCCGCCTGACGCTACGTCCGTGAGGCCAGCCCCCGTTTGGTTCGCGTCCGCACGGAGCCGTTCGGACGCTTCAAAGACGTACTAAAACAGGGGAAGACCCTTTTGAGGCTCCTACTTTCAGCCTCTCGATCCGGTCACTGTTCGGAGAAGCCCCGTTCAGCGGTTCCGGGTCAAACACCCAAAAAGGCCAGAACCGCGGCCATGACCATTGGGGGGGGTAGGAACGAGGACGCTACTAGGGGCTCCTGGCCTTACTACTGGAAACAAGAATAAGAATTTAATAGAATTAGAATTAAACTTAGTTAATTAGAATTGAATCGAGAAGCTACTAGGACCTCAGGACAACATGTCCATTGGACGATTTCGTTGGAGTTTTGGATCGGTCGCATGTTGACCGACCTGGGGGGACGACCTGGGACGAAAGCCCCTTGTTTCACCCAGGGGTCAGGAACCCAACGCAGCTCCGGTCCAATCCTCTCAAAATAATACAGCAGTTGGAGGTCAGGGTGGAGCCTTTTTGAGGCCCCTGGAAACACGTCCACTGACTGGATGGGGCCTTAGGTACGAAAATAAACGCCAGCCCTTGGTAAATCCTGGCTACTATTAACTTGGCTACTATCAATAGTGACACCCACTGGAAAGTAGTAGCTAGAAGCTACTAGTAGCTCTGGCATTACTACTAGGAGCCAGATGCTACTAGTAACAAGGGCATTACTACTAAGTGTATGTGCTTTTGGTTTGGTTTTGGAGTAGTCCGAGTACGCAAACTGTTGCACTCATCGCGTGGCTCCCACGGGCAGAACGCCTTCTGGTCCCTCCTCCCTTGACAAGCACAACGCCTTCCTTGCAGCTGTTGGAGGGCGTCCCTTCTCCGCCTTTCTGCCATAATGCCATATAAACATGCTTCAGGGTCCTGCGTGGACTGGTTCAAAGGGTAGGATTCTGAATTCGGTTGGTTTCGAGACCACCGTGACCGCCACCGTGAGCGGCCCGCCCGGTGTCGCCGCGCTACTCGGTGACCGCTGCACTCGCGGTGACGCTCGCCTTGTTCAGATCGCCTGGCCAAAGCCTGACACGGTGTCCTTCGGTGCTTGCTGCGATGCAATGGCACGGGCTGCGCAGTGGGACGTCGCGTTGAAGCTCCTTGAGGTGAGGCGACCTTGTTCTCGCGGTGGACTCAAGAGCCTTTGGGGTGCTGAGAATTCAACAGCGAATCCATGCGAAGAGAATTCCAACAAAGGGATCAAAAGGGACAGACGTGCAGGTTTATTGCCACTGGTCACCGGGAGGCACAGGGAGTTTCTCACCCTAAAAAGAAGGTCTTGGACCCTTCATAGAAAGGCTCGCACTCCTGAAATCTTTGGCAATTGGATAATATTTCACTGTCGTGGTTGGTAGGTGTTGGGTTCAATTTACGTTGTTCTGCAAGGACCTGTAGTGACTCCAACTCCAAACCATGAATGAAAGCGGTGCCTCCGCGATTCCTCAGCGAGGAATCCCCGAGTTTGCCGGCCTTGAGCAGCTGCATCAGCGCGCAGGACAGAACATCTCGGGAGGGAACATGGCCATACGTGGAGGCCATCGCTCTTAGGCCATTGCTACTAGGAGCAAGTAGCTACTAGGGAGTCGTGGCATCACTACTAGGAGCAAGGACGATACTAGGCGCTTCTGGCCTACTAGGAGCAAGGACGCTACTAGGGGCTCCTGGCATCACTACTAGGAGCAAGGACGCTACTAGGGGCTCCTGGCCATACTACTAGGAGCAAGAAGCTACTAGGGACTCCTGGCATCGCTACTAGGAGCAAGGACGCTACTAGGGGCTCCTGGCCATACTACTAGGAGCAAGGACGCTACCAGGGGCTCCTGGCATCACTACTAGGAGCAAGGACGCTACTAGGGGCTCCTGGCCTTCCTACTAGGAGCAAGAAGCTACTAGGGACTCCTGGCATCACTACTAGGAGCAAGGACGCTACTAGAGGCTCCTGGCCTTCCTACTAGGAGCAAGAAGCTACTAGGGCTCCTGGCATCGCTACTAGGAGCAAAGACGCTACTAGGGGCTCCTGGCCTTACTACTAGGAACAAGGTTCGCTACGAACGGGCTCCTGGCATCACTACTAGGAGCAAGGACGCTACTAGGGACTCCTGGCCTTACTACTAGGAACAAGGTTCGCTACGAACGGGCTCCTGGCATCGCTGCTAGAAGCAAGGACGCTACTAGGGGCTCCTGGCCTTCCTGTGATGTTTCCGTTGAAGCTGCTTCTTCGTAGGGTGCGAACTCAGCTGCTTTTGAATGGCGAACCCCAGGAAGATCCATGGAGCTTGTGAATTGGTCAGGAGTGGTAAAAGTCTAATATGATGTAATATGTTATATATTGTAAAATAGTATTGTATTCTATGTAGGGGTTGTCCTATTACCTGTAACAGTCAATAAACAATGATCACTATTTTTGGACAAGGCCTGCAACCTAACAATCATCTTCCACTGTTACAGCATGTTACAGCTAATAGGATAGATCAAAAATTGTATATGTGAGTTTGCCAAACTCAAACCACTTCATGCTGTGAAGTATATGTTTCATGAATGTGTAACTCTGTGGCCATCACGGCCCAATATGCCACTGAAGTGGCGGGATTCGATCGACGCAAGCCAATGGCGCTTTGAAAAGGTGCGAGACCTCGAGTGCAAGCATCTTCGGTCGTGAAACTTCGATTGTTCACTTCCCACTTGGCTGGCCTCCGTGCTCGACATCATCAGTGTCAATATGGAGCAGTTTGCATGGATGCCACCGGTACCTGAAAACCCGCCAAGAAGGACACTACCATTCTGACCACCAAGCGTACTGTTGCTGAGTCCATGTCTCGTCTTTGCCCAGGAGACCACGAGCATTGCCGCCTTGAAGGGTACATGAAAGGACATGGCACGCATCGCACTTCCTTCATGGAGGACTACCAGCCAGCGTTTGCCGCGACCTTGGCAACTGCTCTTGCTAGCTCTGAGCGACCTCAGACTTGGGAGGATTCCTATGTCGTCCGGGAGCACACCAAGTACTTGGGCAAGATCGTTGACCTACATGCTGAAGGCAAGCAGAATGCCCTCAGAGTCATCCAGAAGCTCCATCGGAACCTTGGACATCCTTCCGCCCAAGCACTAGTTGACCTCCTTCAAGCCAGAGGCGCCTCGAAAGATGTGTTGGCTGTGGCTGAAAACTACTTGTGCAGTTCATGCCTTCGATACAAGAAGCCGAACCAACCGGCTCCAGCTACGACCAACAAGGCCGAGCGCTTCAACCAGACAATCCAGGCTGATGTGTTCTGGGTTCGCACTGACAAGAAGAAGTGGCCCATCCTTGCTGTCCTTGATTGCGCCACTAAGTACCAAGTCGCATGCCAGATCCAGTCAGAGCAGACGCAGGACTACATCCAGTCCCTTGAGCGACACTGGATTGCACACTTTGGCCCTCCAGAGGAGCTCATCACCGACGAAGGACGTGGCTGGTTGAGCAATGAGTTCATGAACTGGTCCGATGAGCATAGCATCAGCCACAAAGTAGCTCCTGGCGAGGCTCATGAACGCCTTGGTCAAGTGGAAAGGCGACACTCTGTCCTTCGCAAGGCCATTGAAGTGTACATGCACGACTTGCAGCTGGAAGGTCGAGATGGTATTCGACAAGCCCTGACCTACATCCTTCCTCAGATCAATGCTCAGCCGACTGTCGCTGGATTCTCTCCGACTCAATGGGTCCTTGGATATCAACCAGCTCAACCTGGTCTCTTGCACTCCGGTTCCTGTGCACTACATGGTCATGAGGATTTTGAGAAGCACCTTCATCAACGTAATGTGGCAAAGACTGCAATCCTCCAGGCCGAGACCGACAGGAAACTGAGGCGCGCCCTCCTGAGGCGTTATGCAGGAGTCAACCAAAGACTCTTGGCTGGCCAGCGTTGTTTCTACTGGCGAGATGCTCAGCAACATGAACTCTGCAAGATTCGCTGGCGAGGACCTGCAAAAGTCGTTTGTGTCGAAGAAAAAGATGGCAGTCCTCATGTCTACTGGTTGGCGCACAAGACACAGTTGATTCGAGCAGCTCCTCACCACGTCAGACCGGACTTCACCTCCATTGAGGACACGGCAGTTGAAAACCTTAAGGATGCCACCTCAACTTTGCAAGCATTGAAGTCCCGTGGTGTGACTCGCTACGTCGACCTCAACAAGGCCAACAAGCAGGACCTCCTCGACGTTGAAGAGCACGAGGAAGAACTTTCCCTAGACGAAGGTCCTGAGCTGAAGCGACGCCGGCTGGCGCACCAACCTGATGAAGAACAAGACATGGAGGAATACACTCCCTCCGAGCCATCGGAACCTCAAGGAGTTCCATCCTTCTCAGCACCTCAGATCGAGACAGATGAACCGATGCCTGCTGCACTTCCTTCACTACCACGTCCAGAAGATCTACCAGCAGTTCCTGGCTCTCCTAGCGCACTGTCAAGATCTGATCAGCCTGAACCGTCGATAGAGCCTGAACCACCGACTGTACCTCCAACTCCAGTTCACCTTGATCCGGTGACTTCCGAGGCCTACAAGACACCAACAGCTCCAGAGACGTTCCAACAGCAGAGGCTTCGACTGGACAAGCAGGAGACTCTTTCCTTTGGACCTCAACGACCCCGACATCATGTTGAACACACGCCGTATGACAAACCGGCAGCTGAATCAAGCGAGATGGTGTTCGAGGTCCAAGATCTAGACTCTGATAGCCTTCCAAAAGGGTAGACCTTCAACAAGAACAACCACACCCTTGAGCTCAAGCACAAACTGGCCGATTTCTGGGAGATTACTGGTGGATGCCTCATCCGTCATCATGTACGCCCACGGTCGAAGAAGTTCATGCCAAATGACGTTGCAGATCTACCAGTACCTCTGGAGAACTTGGATGATGTCCGGGTCACCGTCTTCCGTGAACCTGGCTGTGATTCGTCCTCGACCACTGACCACTTCAAGACCGAGAATGTGTTCTCCAAGAACTCCAAAGAGATGCCCAAGCGACTTCCTGCCAAATGGATTGGCTGCACGATCTTCCAGATCAATGCCACCACACGAAAGGAACTGGGCATGACAGCCACTATGTCATCGAGCTCAACTTCGTCCTTGCGGCCCATTCGAAAGGCAGCTCAGCACGTGAAGACACAGCAGCTTCGCCACATGAAGAAGGAGAAGAACAAGACAGAGGTGAGAGAGAAAGCACTGACCCAAGCCGAGCAACAACTTTTCTATGAAGCAAAGTGCAAGGAACTTCGAAGCTTCTTCGAATGTGGTGTCTGGGAGTTTTCTACCTCAGACAAGGCCGATGCCCAACGCACTTTGTCTAGCAGGATGCTTTTGAAATGGGCCAAGAATCCTGACGGCACTCCTCGAGCCAAGGCCAGATTGGTTGTCCGCGGCTACAACGATGCCGACGCCCTCGCTGGAAACTTGGACACTCAATCTCCAACTGCATCCAGACTAGCTCGAAGCCTGTTGCTCTCCATCTCTTCGATGCTCAAGTGGCATGGCTGGTTTGCAGATGTGGCGACAGCATTCTTACAGGGTATGCCTCAGACAAGACAGTTATGGCTTCGCCTGCCCAATGACTGCTTGCAGATCCTTGGCTGCGGACCGGAGACGCGCATGGCCCTGATCAAGCCCGTCTATGGTCAGCTTGATGCTCCCCGTCGATGGTGGCAAGAGGCAACAAGAAGATTGACACAAGAAGGCTGGATTCCTCATGAGTTGGACCCTTGTCTTTTTACACTTCACCACACCTTGGAGGATGGCGCAACAGTTCCATGTGGCCTCATCGCCTTGCACGTCGATGACATGCTAGGAGCTGGAGATCGCAGTTGCCCAACATATGTTGCAGCCGAGCGCCGTCTGAAAGAAGTTTTTGATTTTCGAAGTTGGCAAGAAGACAGTGAAACCATGGAGTACTGCGGTGTTTTGCATGACCGCAAGGACTTTTGTTGGACATTGTCACAACGACACTTCATCCAGAAGGTCAAACCGGTCACCATCCACAGAGGCAGATCTCCTGAAGATCCCATGACGGAAGCTGACCGATCGCAACTCAGAGCTCTACTTGGCAGTTTGCAATGGCCATCTGTGCAGTCGCAACCTCATTTGCAAGCAAGTTGCAGCCTCATCAGTGGTCAGCAACGCTCTGGAAAGTTGAAGGCCATCATGGAGGCCAATGCTTTACTGAAGTTTGCAAAAGAACATGTGGATGTCTCGCTGAAGTACGAGCCATTTCAATCCATCAACAGTCAAGCTGATCTCATGAAGCTCCGCCTGGTGATCATGTTCGATGCATCTCATGCTGCCCGAGAAGACCACTCCTCGCAGGGAGGACACCTGGCAATCCTTGTGCCGGAGGAAGCCTTCGAGCAGGAGACTCCGTACCATGTTGTGGATTGGCGCTCCTACAAACTTCCAAGAATAGCCCGCTCAAGCCTCAGTGCAGAGGCACAGGCAGCTGGAGGTGCTAGCGACACAGCAGAATACATCTGCAGGTTTTGGTCCATCATTTTCAACCCCTGGCAGAGGTTGAGAGACCGACTTCAAGAGGTTTCCCCTTTGACTCCGACGCTCGTCACAGATGCAAAAGCTCTCTATGATGCTTGGCACAAAGAGACAGCTACGTCAGCAAGTTCCTCAGTGGACAAACGCACTTACTTGGAGATCAAGGTCGCCAAGCAGCAAACCTCTGAACTCGGAGGATGCCTCAAATGGGTCAGCAGCGAAAGACAATTCGCCGACGGCCTGACAAAAGGGTCTACAAAAGGACTACTTGCTGATCGTTTGAGGCGGCACCAAATCAAACTGGCCTGGGATCCATCCTATACCTCGGCCAAGAAGAAAAGCAAGCAAGAAAGAGAGGAAAGCCGGCAGGAATTTGCCGAACCAAAGATGAAGAGGAAGCCCACGAGAAAACAACCACATCAACCAGAACAGTCACCTAACTTCACCCAACAACTAGAGAGTGTGCATGAGGAGCCCTATGAGATGGACGAGATTGAGCAGCTTGAGAACCCCAACGAGAACCTTGACAGACCATGGCCCAGCTCTTCGAACTTGAAGACTCCTATGACTATGCTGGTCTACTTCACTCAGATCAAGGCGGTCACGGCCGGGTTCTCGGGTGTCCACACGCCGCTGGAACCGGAAGAGATCTGTCTTCCAAGTGATGACCCAACAGTTGAAGACTGGTCGATACTGACCTACATGTCCATCTTTGTCCTCCTCACCATCCTCATTGTGAGCTACCTGTCCTACAAGTTTGGAAGAATGGCTGAGAAAAGAAGACAGGTGAAAGATTTGGATGTGAAGCTGAGGGTGGCTCATGGTCGCAACCAAAGGCACTTTGATGCAGCCTTGGATGAGCAGAACCTTGCTCTCGACCGCCGCATGTCGCAGCTAGAGAATGACTTGGTGAAGGCCGCTGAAGAGCACGCCACCACTCGCAGAAACCACAACGAGATGATGGCTCAATGGCAAATTGAACAACAAGAAGCTGAAGAGATAGATCAAGCCTTCCAACAATGCCAAGCTCTCCTGTCGCGGTGCTTCCGCGAACTACAGGATCACATCGATGATGAATGCCCCATCGAGATGGGATGCTATGTGGCACCATTCGGCCACACATGGCACACGACTCGAGAATGTCATGGTTTGAAGCAAGCTCACCGAGTCGACCACCGTCCATGCTGCCACTTCTGCACACCAACTCCCCGTACACCCTTTCGGGTGAACAGCTTGAGCGGAACCACACTGTGGGAAGATATGCAATCTTGGAGGCGGCAGTGGGGCGCACGCTCCTATGAAGAATGGCTGGTGGACTAGCTGCTGAGTTTTTTTTACCACTTTTCACCGGTGTGAGTTTGCCAAACTCAAACCACTTCATGCTGTGAAGTATATGTTTCATGAATGTGTAACTCTGTGGCCATCACGGCCCAATATGCCACTGAAGTGGCGGGATTCGATCGACGCAAGCCAATGGCGCTTTGAAAAGGTGCGAGACCTCGAGTGCAAGCATCTTCGGTCGTGAAACTTCGATTGTTCACTTCCCACTTGGCTCTTTTACCTCCGGTACCAGTGTCCAAGTGACAGTATAATTGATAATTAGAGTATTATAGTCTTATATTATTGTATTATAACGGTATCCAAACGAATGTAACACGGCCAAAAGACAGGATGTCCTTCCCGACGCCACCGGTGGCGTCTTCTTCTCGACGGTCTCCCTTTCAGGAGAGAGCGAGTGAGTGGCACCGTGCGTGGGCCTTGGGTGTCAAATCCCATGGGCCTGGAGAATGGGACCATGCACTTGAGGATCCATGGGACCAGTTTGGCGCTCCTTTTTCCCAAGCTCAACAGGGAGGCAGTTCAAAGAGAGAGTGAGCTATCTCAGGGACGAATGGTCGAGATGGTCGAAGGTTGGGGTCCATGACTTTGTCGGTGCTGTGCTGGTTTCTTCATGACTAGTAGCGTCCTTGCTCCTAGTAGCGATGCCAGGAACCCCTAGTAGCGTCCTTGCTCCTAGTAGTAAAGCCCGGAGTCTTTGTTTTAACTCTGCACCATTTGGACCCCTGGGCCCAACCAAATCCCTCAAGGATTGATCTCTGTGCAACACATGAGAAGAGAAACAGCAGGAGAGAAGCACCCTCGGAGTGTTTCCGATCGTGTTTTCCGCTGGGTTCATCACCTGAGAGACGCCTGCCCGCCTTTCACCTCCTCGTCTTTTTCAGAACCACTGAGGCCATCGGGCTGCTTCGATGGGCTCGGGGGACCTGGCCGGACGTCGGACGGGGAGCGACCGGGTCGGATGGAATGAGACAAGGAACACGGAGCAGACGAAGGCTTGGTTGTCCTTGCGACGTTCGTAGCCTCTTGCTTCTTGTTACGTTCGTAGCAATGGCCTCCAAGCTACTTGCTTCTGGCCTCCACCTAATAGTGTCCTAATTCATATAGAACGAAAGGATCAAGAGCTAAGAAAGGGCTAAGAAACGTTGTGTCCATGTTCTTATTAAACTCCGAACTGATGATTGATCAAACGGAAGGGTAGTGCACAGAAAGGGTTTTGCAAAAACCTATTCTACTAACATCGTGGAAGGCGCGGGACATTCGTAGAACCCAAGGCTATTCGTGGACAGTTCGTGGAATGGTGGGCCAGTAGGAGAACTGACTGCAACGAAATCCCAGAAACCTTCGCAGAACTTCGTGGAAGGTATTTTTGATGCACTAACTTCGTATAAGCGATTTTTGCTGACCCCCTTTCTCCACACACCCTCCATTTAGCCTTCAAGATCTGATAGAGAAACTGATTCAGTTGTCCAGTATATTGGTAGATCTATAGCTGCTTCTCTCATGTGTTTTTTAAGCGAATGAAGAAGTTCGAGGCCCGGTCGGTACACTTGAAGCCCAACACGGCGGTGATGAATGTGGCGCTGGGCGCTCTGGGCCATGGCCACTGGGTCTGAGGCCTCAGACCGCCCCCAACTGCTGTTGGCCAACGTCTTGAGTTGATTAATCAGGCCCTTAGAGAAGAAAAAGCCGCACACAATCTAAATTTTCTTCCCCCCTTTTTTTGTTAGATGAACTTCCAGAAGAATCAGATCCCGTGATGGTCGATTTTGGATCAGCGACCTTGGGTGTCCCGCAAAAAGTAATGCATCACGTGTTCTCTTTGTAACAGAGCCTTCCCTTTCTTGAGGAGGCGCAGCACGGTTGGACAACCTATATAGAGATCCTGAAAGCGCCCCATACCAGGACCCCCAAGGATTATTAGTGGACACCCCGACAGACCCCTAATTAAGGCGCTATTCATGGACACCTGGAATCGTTGATGCGTGGCTTATCCGCTCCTCGCCTGCGATGTGGAGAGAAAGATAGAGAAAGCACAACTCCGCCTCTCAAGGCACAAGCGATGCATTTGCTCGACCAGATGCGACAGGAGGGCCCCCCGGGTCGTTTTCGCCCGCCATTCGTTTGCTCGCAGCAGCCAGTTGCGGGAGGGGGTCGTTTCGGGAGGGTCGGCTTGGGGTCGCTGGGAGAAAGCGTGTTGACGGGATATCGCTTTGAAGAAGGGGCAGGCCCTCATCAATGTGATGGTTTTCGTTCAAATGGATGCTTGGATATCACATGCGTGAGCTCCTGGTTAGCAAGGGAAGTCAAAACCTCTTAATTGTGTCTTATTATGCACTTCCTTGTGCAGGTTCTAGCTTTCAAAAACTTGCACAACAATCCTATAGGATTGTGATGGTTGCACAGCCTGAATCAAAAATGTTCAGAAAGCATAGTAACAAGAAGCTGCTAGTAACAAGTTGCATCCATGTCGTGGGAGACTTGCAACCCCAAGGGTCTAAACCGTCCATGGACTCCGTCATGTCTCCACCGGTTTCACCGGTCTCACCGCAGGAGGGGCCACGGAGTGGGTACTCAGAGTGCCGGTGGAGCGGGTGGAGAAATGGGTTGAATTTAATATAGTGTGAAGAGCGATGGCCTCCAACCTAAGAGCGATGGCGGCCAACCTAATAGATATGGCCTCCAACCTAAGAGCGATGGCGTCCGACCTAATAGGTATGGCCTCCAACCTAAGAGCGATGGCGGCCAACCAAATAGATATGGCCTCCAACCTAAGAGCGATGGCGGCCAACCTAATAGATATGGCCTCCAACCTAAGAACGATGGCGGCCAACCTAATACATATGGCCTCCAACCTAAGAGCGATGGCGTCCGACCTAATAGATATGGCCTCCAACCTAAGAACGATGGCGTCCGACCTATATAATAGATATGGCCTCCAACCTAAGAGCGATGGCGGCCAACCTAATAGATATGGCCTCCAACCTAAGAACGATGGCGGCCAACCTAATAGATATGGCCTCCAACCTAAGAGCGATGGCGTCCGACCTAATAGATATGGCCTCCAACCTAAGAGCGATGGCGTCCGACCTAATAGAGATGGCCTCCAACCTAAGAGCGATGGCGTCCGACCTAATAGAGATGGCCTCCAACCCAAGAGCGATGGCCTCCGACCTAATAGACCCAGCAGCCGAAAGTTCTTTCCCAATGCTTTGCGATTCGACAGGAGAGGATGACGGAACATGGATAGTTTTCCCAACCGACAATACAATACAATTGACGAATATGCTATATATCTTCTGATTTTGTTCTTCCAACTCATTCTCAAATTCGTTCTGGTGAAACCAGAACGACCATGCTTGCCGAACTCCACCTTCCCTCCACTCGCAGCCTCAGGCCCACGACCATCTCCTTGAACACAGCCCTCCGCGCTTGTGCAGATGTTTCTGGGCACCACCGGGGGGGCAGCGGAACGGCCGATGAGACGGAGACGGCAACGGACCGGTGAGAAGAAGGGCGGAAACCACTTGCGGAACCACTGCGGTCAACCAATGGCAAGAATCGCAAGCAAGTGCTCGAGGTGTTTCATGGTGAAAGTGTGAATGGTTTCAGGGTTTTTTCCTTCTGGGGAAGCAACTCACCCGGGCCATCCCAGCATATTCCGAGTACATCCAAGTACTACCCGTGGCCCACGCCGTAAACCCGTGGAACGTGGGCGCCGAACCACGGGACCGAACAACGGGGGGGACTGCCCCCTCCGTCGGGCGGACGTCGGACTAGAGAAACGTCGCGTCTCACTAGGAAAAGGAGGTCTTTTCACCGTCCAAAGACCTCCTTTGCTAGTAGTAACAAGTGCCACGCTAGTAGTAACAAGTGCCTTACTACTAGTAACAATAAGAATTTAATAAGAATTGTAATTACAAGAAACAAGAAGCTACTAGGAACAAGTGCATCGCTTCTAGGAACAAGTGCCTTACTAGTATTACCAAGAAGCTCATCCTCTCCTTTTCGTCCTTTCGTGGCGCCGTCGGCAGAGAGGAACAAGGTCGTGTCGGGTCTTCGCCCCCGAATGAGCTGAGTCCTTTTGGATTTATGTATGTGTTGTTTGTTTGAAGGAAAAGGACAAAAAGATTTAAAAAGAAGAAGTATTCTCTAAATGAATTCCTTGCCCTCATGTCATTCCCTCATTCCCGTCTGCCAGTCGCCTTAGCACTCGCCGTCCGAGGCGAGTGCTTGGACTCGAGCGCTTTCCACCTTCGAGCTCTTTCAGGTCGGGCGCCGAATGGCTGGCTGGGTCGGGTATTCTCAAAAGAGGTCCTGGAATGAACCGAACAAGTTCTGGAAGTGTAAGGAACTGGCACGTTTTCACAGTGGTTGGTGTTTAGGAAAGAACAAGATGAACTGTTGGATTCTGGATGCTAACTTGGGAAAATATGAGAGGAAGGAAGCACCTGTTTCACTGCATGTTAGAGCAATGCCGCCCACGCGCATCATGTCCAAAGTGGGCAGAGAGAGAGCATGGCAGAGCAGCCGGGGGCTGGAAGTTCACGGCATTCACAGCAGCGAAGTTGGTTTCTTTGCGAAGGGGAAGGCTGTATCACGAGTATCACGCAAAACCGGAATTAAGAGTGTTCTCTTCCAAAAACCACAGACAGGTCATGTCATCTGGCATTGTCTCCGCCAGTCTTCCGTCTTCCAACCTCAGAACAATGGGTGTTTGTTCCCTATTGAAATAGGGAGACCGTTCGGCCGGTCTATGACCAATACACTCAGAGACGGAAGACCTCCGGTCGACTCACCGGACTCACGGTCCTTCCAGGCGTTGGGACTTCAGCCAACGAACATCACCTACACCACCCTCATCGGCGCACTGGTGAGCGCCCCGGTGTGGTGAGCGCCCCGATCGATGTGAAGGGCTTAATGTCCGTTTGCTTCGCATGTGTGTGACAATGCCAAAGGACCAAGAAAATAATCGTGACACATGTGCTTGCGAAGGCAAGATTCCTACAGGGGCTGTTGAGCAAACTAGCAGCACAATAGAGGGATTCACTTCAAAAAGGTTGCTGTTCTGTGATTCATGGATTTTTCATGGATTTATTCCGGCTCTTTGCGTTTGCACTTCAGGCAGCGCCCCGTAACACAAATCTTCGCCCCAAACTGATCAACTCGCATCCGCACGCGGAACGCTTCGGCTGCGATGCCGCCCCGGCCCTCGTAGCGCGTCCCTAGTAGCGTCCCGAGTGTCCGTCCGAACGCTCCGCTTCGTAGTAAGGCCAGGAGCCCCGTTTGTAGCGAAAACAGAGTGTCACAGCACCTTGGCGCCAATGTTGCGCTGAGTCTCCGGAGTTCAGGCGAATGGCACTCTGTGGCAGCAGGCGAAGATCTTGGCCTCAGAGGGGAGGTCAGGGGAGTCTCCTAGTATATAGGGTGTGTCCCATTACTCAGTACCAGTCGGTAAACGATTATTACTATTTTTTGAACAAGCTCTTTACTAAAGATCATCATCCACTGTTACGTATTGGGATAGATCCAAGAGATGTAGTCTTGACAACTTGACTGGACTTGACTGGACTTGTCCCAAGATAGGAGATCCTCCAAATGATCACCAAGTGTGCCGAAGTTGCTCTTGTATCCGTCAAAACAGTGGCAAAGTCAGTGTGAGTGTTATTGACGTTTTTCCGTATTTGGCCTGGAAATCTTGTGACTCATCCTCTAACCCAAAGGCTTGCTGCAACCTCCCTTGGAGCCCATTCATGAAATAAGTCAAGGACAACTACCTGTCAAAAAGACTTGATTTGCATTTTCTCCACCATTGTCCCACAAGGTCCAGATTCTGGTGGAAGAGTCTGTTTGACTTCTGGCTTGCTTTGATATCTAGCCCCATACTGGCTAGCAAGAATTCTAGTACGATATTGAAACCTGCTGAGCCTTTTTTCTCAGTTTGGAGGTGTTCCATCCCCAACTCCCCGTCCGAAGCGTTGGAGTTGGGCTCCAAGCTACAAGAGCCGGCGATGGCCTCCAACCGAGTTGGCGTTGGGCCCCCATAAATCGACCTCCAAGCGCTCCAATCCGCCTCCGTCACCGTTTGACCGGCGACACGTCGACGTTGGACACCGACGTTAGACACGTCGTCAGACGTTGGAGGCGGTGGTGCAGCTGGAGGAGTTGGATCACCAGTTGGGCTCCAGCTCGGTGGATCTCATTACCCTCCACGCAACTCTCACGGCCACCCGGACGTGGGGATGTGTTGGGATGGGGTGGGGTTGGGGTGGGGCATGTGTTGGGGGATAAAAACAGGACGGAAGGCGAGAGGCGTTGGGCAAAGAGTGTAGAGTGAGCAGGTTCTTTTTGAGACTTGTGGAAGAGGTCTTTTGGGGGGGGAACCACTCCATTGGTTTGTCCAGTGGAAAGCCACCAAAAGATGCCGATCATCATCTGCAACTCCAGGCCTGTGCTCGTGGCCTGGCGGGAAGCTGTGCCATGAAGTTGCTATCAGAGCTGCCAAGTCGATCTCTTCAGCCAGACCACACCACCTATGGCATTGCCACGGCCTCGTGCGCCATCTAGGGCCCACAACCGGTGAAGCTGAGAGGGAGGAAACGGTTTTGGGATGGAGGGTGAAGCTTGCTGTGTTCCAGCGGCACAAAGCGTTCGGGGTTGCGAGGGGTTGTGTTCCACTCGGAGGCATGAAAACATGCAAAACCAATCTGACAGACAGGAAGGAACCCTCCTAGTTGATCCCAGCACATTGTGGGCTTTGCGTTGGTTTTGAGGCCAGAAGGCCAAACCATGGGGTGAACGTGTGTTCCTCAATTCAGCACCACATTCATATGTTCGATGGATGAGATGAGTCAAATACAAGGCAGAATCGCCTCGCTGGGGATCCTGGTGCGACAGGACACCAGTCTATGGTTGTTCACCTGGATATACCTGGATGGCTCGGTATCTCAAAGAAAGCATCATTCACAGTTGGCAGGGGACACATGCATGACCAATGGCCCAAAATGCTCCAATGTATGGACCATTAGTTTGCATTTGGTTTAGGATGTTGCAAGGGAAGCAATGCGATGTGAATGTGATGTCAATGATTGCCACTTTCCCGGCGGAGGTCAGACCCCAATGAGAAGCCAAGCCCAAATTCAGTAGAAAAAGTACGCAGTTGGAGTAGCAAACACAATTAATTGGTTTGCTTGGAGGCCATCGCTATTAGGTGGGAGGCCATCGCCATTAATTGGTTTGCTTCCATGACATGCGGCATATTTGGTTCGTGCTGCATGCACAGCTGAGGCCCTGAGCTGTTTGGGTGGGGCGTGGCCTGTGGCACTGCAGCTTCCTGGAGGAAGATGACCTAAACCCGTGGTCCGATGGAGAAAGGAATGACCTCATACATATCACAGGCAACTAGCATAAGCTAGCTGCAACTCCATTCTGATCTTCGGATGACAGATCGAACGCAAGAAAGAACCAGACTGTTGCTATTAGAAACAGGATAAAAAAAAGGGAAGAAAGGTCTAATATACTAATGGTTGCTATTAGGTTGGAGGCCATCACTAGAGAGACAGCACGAGTCATGTGCCACACGGTGAGCCGAGATCCCACGCGTCATGTGACCCAGGTCACCAACCAGTGGACCTAGTGGACGGTTGGCCCAAACCGCACTCCACGAGCACACTAGGAACAAGTGCATCGCTACTACTAACAAGTGCCTTACTACTAGTAACAAGAAGCTAGTAGAAACAAGTGCCACGCTAGTAGTAACAG